CCCCCCCTTCTCCTTTCCTTCTGTTGTTTTTGTTGCATTATGCTAGTTCATGTTGTTCTAATATAGTGTTAGTGATAGGATTTTGTTTTGTTTAGTTCTTCTTCTTCTTTTTAGTGTAATTTCGTTTTAGCATATATCTGGTAAAAAGGCTGTGTTTTGAATGTTTGGAATGGTGTTGTTGGTGGGTGATGGTTAACAGAAAGTGTGGAATGTGTGGGTGTAGTAGATAGTTGAATTGGGAAAGTTTTCTTGATTCCCTTGGGACCATGAATATGAAGAAAATGCCTTGTCCACAATGTGTTTGAGAAATTGCCTCAATGGTGATATAAGGAGATGTGGTGACATGGTTGTGGTGAAGTCTGAGTAACCACCCATAGTCACACATTTTAGGCTCATCCTAATACGTGCTTCTCTGTTTTGACAGGTATTATGAGTTTAACCCGTAAGAGACGACACACCGGGTCCTCTACTAGTGGCCCAGGAGGCTCCTCCCGAGCTAGGGGCCAAACCAGTGCACCACGGTTTGATAGCACTCGGTTCGTCTCTGCAGAAGCAGAGGCAAGGTACAATCAGAAAATTGCCAGGAAGTTACTCCATGAGGTCCATATCGACAGGAAGGCTTTGGTGAGGGAATGCCCCAATATGTTTGATGAGCTACAGAGGTGTTAGCTGGACATCTTCTTTAAGGCTCCCGAGGAAGCAAATATTCAGCTAGTGAGGGAATTCTATGCAAACCTGCCAGAACACGAGGACAAGGTTGTGACTGTGGGCAACACCCCAGTTATTGCTGCTATAGAGGTCATCCATAAAGTGTATCGCCTCCCCGCATTCACGGGTGATGATCATTACATCATGGCTAGTCGCCCGATGGTTGACTGGGACAGAATTCTGGAGGTCATCTATATACCTGGCAGACAGCCCAAATGGGTAGCACAACCGACGACTCTGCATTCTAAGTCTCTTACTTGGGAGGCCAAATGTTGGCTCACCGTCATCACCACTCGGTTGCTACCATCCAACAATACCACCGATGTAAATGGGCAACGGGCCGCTATGATCTACTACTTCATGACTCACCAAGGGTTTGATGTCGCCTGAGTCCTCTTTGAAGAAATGTTCATCCGATCGCCCGAACTAAGCAAAGGCCACTACTTCCCTTCGCTTGTCACCTGTATATGCCGCCTTGCTAATGTTCCTGAGAACTCCCGAGTTGATGGGAAATTACCTATAAAAACCCCTTTCCGAGCGAGAAAAATTGGGCAAGAGGGACGAGAGCCAGTACGACGCAATGATGACTCGTCTGATGAGTCTGAGTCTGAGGATAATTCTGATGCTGCTGAAGCTATTGAGATCACAGCCCCTCCTAGAGGGGGCAAGGCAGGATCGTCACAGCCACACTGGAGCACTCAGATGGATGCTTTGGAGCGGGAAATGACTGGACTGCGGACCTCCGTCACTGACTTGGGGTCCCACATGGATGTTGTGGCTGACCGACAGGTGAAGTCGGAAAAGAAATTCATGGGTTGGTTGAGAGCACTGGGTCGCGCCTGCAACGTGAACCCAGACACAGTTTTAGATCAAGAGTGACCCTTCAGGGAAGTTTCTTTACCTCACTGCTCTTTATATTTTCAAGCCATGGGGACATGTCTTAATTTTAAGTGTGGGGTGGGGGAAACTTTGTTGTATGTTGTAATTGTGAATATTATCTGTTTGTTTTTGTTTTGTGTTAGTTGCTTTGGAAATAGAGTAACTGTTTTTTTTAGGAAGTTAAAATAGAAGCGACTTGTCCCGACGATGGATCTCTTTCGGCGGGGTTCTTGAGGGACTAAGTACAGGAAAAAAAAATTGAAATATAAAGACTCTTCCTAATGACGGATTCTTTAGACAAA